GACTGGCCTATTTTTGGGCTTTGAACAAGCAGTAAAGCATCTAGCAGCCTTGCTGAAGCACTACTAACTTTTTCTGGTTGCTCTTCAGACAGCTGAACAGGTTACTCAAGTACCTAATTGAAAAATAAGTAAGGACTCAGCAACAGCAGCCCTAAATCTGTGACACCTTTTCAGTTTGACAGCAAGTGGTGGCCCATGTTTGTGAGGCTTAAATGCTTTGGGAATGTCCCATCCAGTTTCCTCACCATGACTTTTAAAAGCTACAAAGAACTTTCCACTTTCAGACCAAGGTGAAGATTACCCACAGGGATTCCCAACACATCTTTGTCCACAGACCTGGTGCCTTACACTTTGCTGTTACATTGCAGTGGTTTGATTTCATGCACTTAAGTCTCCTCCAGATAAGCAAGGTCAGTACTGGCAGCACTATGATACCCTTATTTTATATTTCAAAAGCATCCAAAAACTACTTTGAAATGCTGCATAACTTACCAAAGGGAAAGGGATGAGGAAGGACAAGAAGGGCCTCTCATCTTTCCCAAGAACAGCAGAGAAATTTATTTTCACAGAACCATAAGCTTGTTCAGGACAGGTTTTGAAAACAATCATTATAAGAGACTAGTAATTAAATAACAATAAAAGGAACACACGACATCTGCTAATGCACTGGTTGTACCTTTATTGTTTCACCTCGTTCACTAACAATTCAGTGGTGCAAGGTTACCATACACAGTTAGATATCTGCATTGCACACCTAAGGCTATACAGCAAATGGATCAGAATTAGTACAAATACATGAACTATATTTACATTTTGTATACTCAAGCTCCAAATATCCGATATATTTACAAAATAAAATAAGAAAATGAAAACCTGAAATTAATGTACAGTGTTGCTGATACACTCCTTCGCTGGGATGAAATCAGTTTGCAAAGAGATTTGTTCAAGAAGGCCACTTATACAGCTTATACCTTGTATATCTTGTGTACAGAGAGATTAAACAGGGAAATGGGGACCACCGTTAAATAAAAAAAAGTATGTATTTCAGTGCAACAGCGTGTCTAATGTCCAAATTGAAGAACTTTAATCAACTGCACGTGACATATGAACAAGCAGAATGGAAAATTAAGAACTGACCCTGGGAAGTGCTGATCATTCAGGACTCGCTCTGCTTCTAAGGCCCTGGTTTCAAGGCAAGCAGGAAGTAGCTCAGTAGTGCTCAGGATCAGGCCGTTAACTTGGCAGCATTAAGAACTGAAGACTTATGACCTCCATACCCTCAGTTTTCTGAATGCACAGCTGATCCTGTAATTTAAAAACTGTTCCAAATAACATTGGACACAACCATCTGGGTAGTGTTGGACTAGTTTTGATTTCAAATACTTAGAACGCATAAATGGCCTTCTGAACAAAAGTCAATCCTGTTCGTGAACAGCTGACGTTTTTAAACAAGGAAGCACAAAATTAATACATTCCTGCTACATACAGTACAGTTCAGACCACATATTGGGGTTGTTAACCACAATGGAGAGATGCAACGCACACGTTAGAGACCCATTTTAAAGTACATTCAGCAAACCGTTCCAGAGCAGCATTAGTATCCTTCGAGCAGCACGGTAACAGCTGCATCTTCAGCAAAAAACACCCACCACAGGACAAACTAACACAAACTAAGGCTGTGCAAGAGTACCAGAAAGATGCATATGCATAGGCAGGATTAGTTGATTGTATAGTACCAACGGGTGTTATTACAAAGCTAATCCTCTTTCTTATCTAATGTGCAATTAATTACAGATGTATAAATATACAATACATTACATAAAATTAAATCCCTGTAAATTAGGTAACAAGCAGCAAAAAGTAAAGTCTTTGCTTTGAAATACCTTGCTAATCCGTAATAAGGACTATTAGACACTGACCAAAAGTAAAAAACCCTTTCTCAGTGGTCTGGAAATGATATTCCTTTCCCTTTTGCATCCCAGAATATAGGAATCTTCTTTAAAAAGGTACGTAAAGTGCATTTCTAAAATACAGTATAGGAGGTTCAGTTTTGTTTCAAAATATCCAGGAAGCTCCAACACTGACGACACGGTTTTCAATTGACAAAAAAAAGATAATTTTCTCCTTTTCTTTTGTGAGGAACACAAAAACCCCAAGCTACAGCACAGCTTCACACTTCTCGCCAAGGAATGCCTATCAAGTTTACCACCGGTGCTGATGCTGAATGGGCTGGCAGGCCCACAGCACGAGGCCTCGTCTGCAGCGGCTGGGTCCCAAGAGCTGTCTGACTCCGGGACTTCCCACGCACACAGCAGGGAACCACGAGTGGGTTTTTAAATGTCAAGAGAAGGCAGCTTAGCACATTTTCCCCTTCTTGCTCTGTTTCTAAAAATAAGTTTTTAACATGTTGGGCTAGATCAGAAAAGCTTTAAAGTGAATGGAAATCCACCTTTTTTTTCTTTGTCATCCTTTTGAAGAAAACTTGAATTCATTTCAGTCCAGTTTTAAGTAGGGAAACTGATGAATAATTGGTGAAAAACTGTAACCGTATGCTTTTATATCAGACCTGAAAATGCCCATTTGAATCCACACCAGAAGAATCTATTTTATCACAGATTATGCAGCTTTATGAGATACGGATACTTAAAAATAATTTGTTTTTTTGTTCTGATGATCTGTTATCCACAGACATCAAGTCACCAGAAGCTGCGTGCAGTCTTTAGATAGAAGTGTAAAATTTATGCAACACAGCTGTAACATTTCCAGCTTCCCACTTTTAAAGGAAGATCCCTTAACCATGTTTCTATGTAATGCCTGTATCTCCTTAGTTCATTTCTGGCTTATCCAAAGCAAAGACTTAGCAAACTAGTTTTTTCTTCTAGTTAAAAAAAAAGAAGATAAAAATTAAAATGCTCTCAGTATGTCACAAAGTACCTTCACCTAAGTCGCTACCCCTCCTCAAACTGGTTCCACTTTCATTATAAATGGTGGTAATGGCAGAAACAAATTAGTGCTTAAAATTAACTTAATTCTTGGCATCAGCTTAGCTCCAGCTTGAGGAGCCCTCTTGCAGCACTAGCAGTCTTATCCACACACTGTAAGTACATTATCATCCATTGCATAACAAAGGAATATAAACACTGTATTGAGTCACACACAACTAAAGACGACAAAACCAGAAGAAAGACGAAAACAGAAACAAAACCAAACATCCCTATTATGCTCCTGGGTCCCCAGGATGCTCCCTCACTCTGGCTTCCAGTTCTGAAATAAATCTGAGGACCAAAGGAAATAGCACGAGCACATGACTTAGCTTGAGTACTACCTCAAAATATATAAAGATATGTCCTAGAAAGTGTCAGACTCCATCTGCCTGCTCCTTTGCCAACCATGCTTTTAGGAGGTCTCATTATGCATTGCACTTTACTGAAGAACGAAAACCCCATAAAGCTAAAAATCTGCTCAACTGATGCCAGTCCCATGTACGCTTTTGGCCACAGAATTTCCAATGCATAGCATGACCTGCTGATGAGCAAGCCAAATCAAAATTACCTTCTTGAGCTGGAGTGTGCCTACGGTAATAGTGGAACAAAACCCTTTCACCTCTGCCTTGAGAGGTTGGACCCTCAGGATGAAATTCCTGTACATTCCCAAGGATCACAGCTAGCCCTATATCAGTGCCCAAGTAAGTTAAAAAGTACAGCACAACAGTCTGAAACAGTAAAAGAAAACAAACAACACCCCCCCAACCTCCCTGAAAACCTAACTAAGAAAGATGAGTTCAATTCTGAGAAAGGAAATTCATTCTGCTTTCCTTTCTTGGGGCAAGGAGCAAAACTTTGGCCAGAGGAAGAGCTCACAGGTCAGGAACTAACACCACCTGGCTGATCTCCAAGAAGCCAAGCATTGCACCCCACTGACCAGGACGAGTCCACTCGGTCCGTCCTCCAGGAAGGATTAATTCTGAAGTCAAAACTAACTAGGGGGCTTTAGCTGACAAAAATTGTAGCAGGGAAGTGCGGGGACATTCAACAGTTATTCCAAAAGAAAGTGAAAGTGTCCTGCTGTTCCCTGGGGATTACTGCAAGTGCTAGGGCTAGGAAGTATTCTGCAGACAGAGGATGCTTTCCCCATGAGCAGATGGGATGTCGTCTGCGTATTACTGATAAGGGATGCATGCTTAAAGCAGGCCTTTCAGAATGATGCCGTCTATCCTAACATACCAGTGACAACCCTAAATCTCTTCCAAGCAGGTGGGAACTGCTGCTACAGGAACTCCGAAGACAGGACTAAAAGCAGGAAGGGGGGGTACTGTCCTCCCGCGGTGATCTCCTGAAAGCGCCCCACGGAACAACCACACCGTTCATCTCTGCATCACACTCTCCATCTGTCAAATACAGGGCTGAGCATCTAAAACTTCAGGGATTATATCTAAAATTTTTGCGATGTGGTTTATTTTTCCTCACATCAGCACAAGTTCCATCTCCTCAGCTCAGTTCAGAGGCAGAGGAGCGAGTGTTAACATTTTGGGAAAGACTTCAAGCCAAGCACTGTTCAACTGCAACCCCACAGCAAGAGTTTAAAGGCAGATGATTCTAGCCAGCCCCTCTTGGTTTGTTCCCTGTCTTTTTCCAGCTCATGCCTTCACCTATTGGACCCTGGAAACTCAAAAACTCGCACCAAGTCCAAAATCCACTCTGCCCAGATAGATTTGTCCAATATCAGCTTTCAACAGAGTTTAAATTAGTGGCTGGATCCAGAAAGCCAGAGGAGCTATTGCAGTTCCTGGCTGGGTAATGTCTACATAGAAGAATTTCTC